GTGGGAAGAGAGCTGCTACGTTATGGGGCTTGCAATCAATGTCCTAAAGCAAAATGTGTATCAACTGTTGACTGGAAAACAAATTTGTTGTGTAATCTTTCACCCAAATTACGATAAAAAAAAAAAAAGAGGAATAATTAACAGGAGAAGCCAGTTAGTTGTTTGTGACAATGGAATTCTATGCTGATGTCAGGGTCCAAAGACACACCTACCTTCTCATTATCTGGGAGCACTGACCACCGTGGGTTCCGGTCTATTTGCCCGGCCAATGCCCTCTCAGCTTAAGCCTCAGGCTTTCGATCCCACCTCAGGAAATTAAAAATTTAAAAAAAAAAAAAAAATCCCTTAAAAGCTCCATTCACACAGGGTCCTTAATGCCGCCACCATCCGCAGGCTCTTGCTTCACTTCTAACACACACACAAACAGCTTACGTCCCATCATATACTAGCTGAGGGATGGCAGGTAAGGTTTAACTGAAATGCCACTGTTTTACTGGGAGCAGTTATCTGAACCCAGAGATGTGAGGTCATGGCTGGCTTGTGTTCTGTTTGTGACTCCTGCCACAGGCCCGGGATGGGAGGGGCACTTGCACGCCCTCACATTCATGAGAAAGTAACGTTTTGAAAGAAGACACACAGAGCACTTTATGTAATCATCAGAAGCACCTCCCGAGCCTGGATGCTGTGAGTCCAGAAGCGGAGAGGCCCCACTCCGGCACTTCCAGCTGTGATTCAAGTAAAGGACACCACCCCAGGTATTGGACTGTGGAGGAGAAACAGCCATTCCTGAAACAAATACATAGAAACATGCAGCCAAGGCTACCCAGAGACTTACACGGGATTGGTACAGATCCAACTGTCTCTCTTCAACTTTAACTCGGAGGGAAATAACTCCAGAGGTAACACTTGAAGAATGTTTTTTAAATTAAGCTATTCAGTGTTCTCAGACCTGGAGGAAATCTGGGTGTATGTGGGGCCTGGCTAGGAATGAATGAAATCCCCACGCCGTGTGCAAGCACCTGCTCTGCCCATCCTGAGTGCAGTCAATAGTCCCCGAGACACTGCTATAGGATGCTCACTGTGCTATGATCCTGGTGCTCAGGTGCCTTGGCTAGTCTGGGACTCAGAGGACAATATACCTGGCCCAGGGACCAAAAATCACAAAGGAGTTCCACAAGTGCCATTCTAACTACGGCCAGCAACATCTGCACAAGTTGAGTGGAATCTCATTTCCCCAACCAAAGGAAATCAGTTTCATGTCCAAGTATGCTGCTGTACATAAAGGCCACCCATGTTTTCAATGAGAAAGCTGAAGAGTATAGAAAATGATTGTTCTCATTACCTAGTGCCACTCTGACAGGAATATACTACAAATGGGATGGCCTTAACAAACAGGAGTTTATTGTTTTACAGTTTGGAGGCTTTAAGTCCCAGTTCAAAGTGCCAAGCTCTGGTGGTTGGGTGAAACCCCTCAACCTTGGCTTCCAGCTCTGCCTCCTGGTCCTGGGCCCACTGGAGCTAGAGGCGTTTCTTCACTCAGACAGCTGCTGGCTGCTGAGACTGACAAGCCTAAGGTTGACAAGTAAAAAGGCACAGTCCTGATGTTACCAAACCACA